GGGGGGAAGGGTTAAATGAAGAGGACTGCCAGGTGAGGAGGAGGGGGAAAGGGTTAAATGAAGGGAAGGCTTCAGGGGGTTCCGTACAGATCACCTTCCACCCCAAGCTCAGAACGCCAAATTCCCTGAATTCCCCCCCCCAGGAGGATCGCGGAAGGAGGGGCCACGGACTGCAGCTCCCCCGTCTTCTATCAGGAGCGTTGTAGGGCGGCACGCGTGTCCCGGTGCCGTGTATTGGTATCAGGAGCGTTGTAGGGCGGCACGCGTGTCCCGGTGCCGTGTATTGGTATCAGGAGCGTTGTAGGGCGGCACGCGTGTCCCGGTGCCGTGTATTGGTATCAGGAGCGTTGTAGGGCGGCACGCGTGTCCCGGTGCCGTGTATTGGTATCAGGAGCGTTGTAGGGCGGCACGCGTGTCCCGGTGCCGTGTATTTGTATCAGGAGCGTTGTAGGGCGGCACGCGTGTGCCGTGTATTGGTATCAGGAGCGTTGTAGGGCGGCACGCATGTCCCGGTGCGTTGATCACACACTCTGGTCTTCTCTCACCACAGGATGGCCCCATAAACCCGTCTGCCGGTCTGGGGCCACAGACAGCTCAGGCTCCCGACCCCGGGGTCCATATGATGGCGTACCTGACGCAGCGGGAAAAGGACTTCCTCCAGGAGAAGGAAGAGGAAGTGATCAGACTACAGGATCAGGTGAGAAGTGAACGTACAATAGCCTGTAGTCCGTGGTGTGGACGCATGAGGTCACATGATCACCTCGCCTGACACACGGCAAATTCCCTCGCTCATCTCGGCTCCTCGGGGGCCCCGATACGCCCACCCCTTGTGAGCGAGGGACAGGTGCTCTTTATTGAGCTCCACTTCGTGAGAAGAGCCGCGTGCGGTGTCCCCCCGGTGTCCCCCATTGCATGTGTACGTGACCGCTGTATGTGATGCCGATATTCCACCCTCCCGGCAGGTCACCATCCAGTATGTGGAGATAAACTCTCTGCGAGAGGAACTCCAGAAGCTGCGTTATGACTGTCCCCCCCATGGCTGTCCCCTGTGTACAAAGCTCCATACAGACACGGTGTGACCAGCTTGGTGGAGGCCACTCAAGTTCCTCCACACCAGACCCCCGACCTCAACCCTACGAAAGACAGGAACACCAGAGGAATGATAGGGTTCAGGTGTACTAAGCAAGATCCATACAGACATGGTGGGACCGGCTTGGTGGAGGAACTCGAGTGTCCTGTACAGAGCCCCGACCTCATCCAACTTCCCTACCGGACCTCAACCCTACTGAACATCTTTGGGATGAGCTGGAATACCTATTGTGAGCCCGGGTCTTATCATCCAACATCAGAACCTGACCTCACTAATGGGTCAAATTCTCACAGACACTCTCCAAACAATGGGGTTCAGGGGTCTCCAGTGACGGGGTTCAGGGGTCTCCAGTGACGGGGTTCAGGGGTCTCCAGTGACGGGGTTCAGGGGTCTCCAGTGACGGGGTTCAGGAGTCTCCGGTGAAGGTTCTGGTGATCCTCCATCATACAAAGACATTGTAGACAATTGGGCTCTTCCAGCCTTGTGGTCGCAGTTTGGTGAAGACCCTTTTCTGTTCCCCCCCATATGACCGTCCCCCGTGTACAAAGCCAGCTCCATACAGACATGGGTGGACCTGCTTGGTGGAGGAACTCAAGTGTCCTGTACAGAGCCCCGACCTCATCCCTACTGACCACCAACCAGGTCTTCTCATCCAACATCAGAATCTGACCTCATAAATGGCACAAATTCCAAGACACCCCCCAACATCTTGTGGAAAGCCTTCCTAGAAGAGTGGGGGACGTTCTCACCGCAAAGTGGGGCAACTAAAATATGAATGGGCGTGGTTTTGGGATGTTCACTAAGCTCATATAGGTGTGAGGGTCCGGGGGCCACAAACTGATGGCTGTATATTGTACACTATGCTTACGCAAAGATGGAAGGCGGGTGATACAAGGCCAGTGTTGTTGGTGACACGCGTGTGGAAATTGGACCATATGGGGACCGCGTGTTACATACAAAGCTGTATGAGTAGGCTCCGCCCTGGTTCTGTGCTCCACCATGGTCCACAGACACTCCCTACAGGCCCTGATGTTCCTCCACAAGAGGTCTCCCCATCCTATACATTCCCCTCTCGGGGACGGGCGCTTCGGGTTCATGTGACGACTTGTTTCCGTCTCCTTAGGAAAGGGGAGCTGGAGTTGGAGTTGGCAAAGTGCCGCCTGGAGAAGGATTCCATGAGTCGGCAGCTTCTCAGTGCCGTGGAGCAAAAGGTGCTGCTGAGCCAAGAGCTGGAGGCATGGCAGGTGAGGAGGAGCAGAGGGCGGGGTCTCCTGGAAATCGGGGGTCTCACAACAATGGCGCCATGTTATTCCCATTTGTGTCTTATCTCTTCACAGGATGACATGCAGATCGTTATCAACCAACAGCTGAAGACCCAAAGAGATCAGGAGAAGGCCTCCGATTCATCTCCCGGCACCCCCACCAGGAAAGGGAGCCCGCGGCGAGCCCGCGACAACGGCAATGGAATCTTCTCCTTCTTCAAGAGGATTTGATGGACGATTTCTAGAGACTCGCACAACACATCCAACGCCCCCTTATGTCCTTCACCACCTTGTCTCCTCCCCCCATTATCTCCAGTTCCATGTCTCCTCCCCCCATTATCTCCAGTTCCATGTCTCCTCCCCCCATTATCTCCAGTTCCATGTCTCCTCCCTCTCCAGTTCCATGTCTCCTCCCTCTCCAGTTCCATGCATTCACTGCCTCTACCATCCCTTGTAGAACGTCATTGTGTCTACTGTTCCAGAATATTAGGGATTCTTTCTGTCCATGACCTCATCACCCCCATGACACCTTCTGATCCATCTCCATTGTCTCCTGCCCAGAGACCTCCCCCCGCGTCATCAGATCTGTCCTCCATCTTGGCTTTTGTTGACGACACCCAATGGGTGGAATGGAGACTTGAAGACAGAGAGACCCCCTGTGATGTATAACACTCGATGGGTGACAGGACGGCTCTCCATAGCAGGCACTGCACGTATTTATGACACCCAGTGGGTGAGATAAGCCCCCCTTCCCCGTCCATAGCCTACTCCATGCAGTCAGACAAGTCTTGGTAAAAGGGATTATAATTCACTCACACAGGGCCCAATCACCGCGGGCTGCCTATCCCATGTCTGTCACCCTCCATGGGGAGGAGCACACTCCATGTCTGTCCCCAGCCTGGGTCTCCCTGCAGGGGGAGGAGCACACTCCATGTCTGTCCCCAGCCTGGGTCTCCCTGCAGGGGGAGGAGCACACTCCATGTCTCATGTCTGTCCCCAGCCTGGGTCACCCTGCAGGGGGAGGAGCACACTCCATGGACGGACCCCCCATGTTTCGGTGTATATAATCTGCTCGGCTCCGTTATGTATATAAATAGAATTATTTTCAAATGTGTTTCTCTATCATTGTGCAGAATACGGCTCATAATGGGGGGCCACAGGGGCTCCGGTCTAGGGAGTCATAGACCCTGGGTGGGGGATATACACAATATTGCCAAATGTATTGGCCCCTCCCCCTCCCAATCATGTGACTCAGGTGTTCTGTGACATTTCCCGGCTACTAAACATTCCGCCGTGGTCGCCTGTTACTGGGATTATAACAAAGTGGAAGCAACTGGGAACAACAGCAACTCAGCCAGGAAGTGGTCGGCCACGTCACATGACAGAGCGGGGTCAGCGCATGCTGAAGCGCACAGTGCGCAGAAGTCGCCAACTGTCTGCAGAGTCAATAGCTACAGACCTCCAAACTCCATGCGGCCGTCAGATTGGCGCAACAACAGTGCGTAGAGAGCTTCATGGAATGGGGGCGGAGCAGCTGCATCCAAGCCTTACATCACCAAGTGCAATGCAAAGCGTGGGATGCCGCGGTGTAACGCACGCCGCCACTGGACTCTAGAGAAGAGGAGGCGTGTTCTCTGGAGGGACCAATCACGCTTCTCTGGAGGGCAATCTGATGGGCGTGTCTGGGTTTGTGGGAGGAGTTTGGGGACGGCCCCTTCCTGTTCCAACATGACTGCGCACCAGTGCACAAAGCAAGGTCCATAAAGACATGGAGGGGGGAGGGGGAGGAGCGTGACTGGCCGCACAGAGTCCTGACCTCAACCCCATAGAACACCTTTGGGATGAATTAGAGGCGGAGACTGCAAGCCCCTCCCCCAACATCAGTACCTGACCTCACAAATGGTCCAACATTCCCATAGATACGCCCCTAAACCTTGTGGACGCTTTCCCAGAAGAGGCGGAGCTGTTATAGCGGCAAAGGGCGGAGCCAACCCAATACTGAACCCTACGGACTAAGACTGGGGGGGCATTAGAGGGCGGAGCCAACCCAATACTGAACCCTACGGACTAAGACTGGGGGGGGCATTAATGTTCATGTGCGTGTATAGGCGTCCCAATACTAATAGTAATATAGTGTATGTGGGGTTCCTATAACAAGAAGTGCCTGAACAGAGCGTCTCTGGACACTGTCGGGGAGGTGGGAGGAGGTCTCGGGACACTGTCGGGGAGGTGGGAGGAGGTCTCTGGACACTGTCGGGGAGGCGGCGGGAGGTCTCGGGACACTGTCGGGGAGGCGGGGGGAGGTCTCGGGACACTGTCGGGGAGGCGGCGGGAGGTCTCGGGACACTGTCGGGGAGGCGGCGGGAGGTCTCGGGACACTGTCGGGGAGGCGGCGGGAGGTCTCGGGACACTGTCGGGGAGGCGGCGGGAGGTCTCGGGACACTGTCGGGTAGGCGGCGGGAGGTCTCGGGACACTGTCGGGGAGGCGGCGGGAGGTCTCGGGACACTGTCGGGGAGGGGGGGGGAGGTCACCCCGAGTCTTCTCCTCCAATCAGAAACCTGCAGAGTCCTCGATACAATGTAACAAGAGTGGCGTCTGAAATGCATCATCTCTGCCTGCTAGAAATACAGCCCCGCCCCCTCATGTGTCCGTGATAAGCCCCTCCCCCTCCCTATGTCCGGGATAATCCCGTCTGATATCAGGAATTGTTCTGGGTGGAGATCATAGAACAGGAAGAGGAGGAGCCGAGAGACAGCCGGGAGCAGTAACGGGAAACTGAGACTCCAATGAGACAGCAAAACAAGTAATGTGTGTGAGAGAGAGAGAGAGAGAGAGAGAGAGACTGCACTGTGTGTGATGGGAGAGAGCGCTGTGTGTGATGGGAGAGAGCGCTGTGTGAGGTGAGAGAGCGCTGTGTGAGGTGAGAGAGCGCTGTGTGAGGTGAGAGAGAGCGCTGTGTGAGGTGAGAGAGAGCTCTGTGTGATGGGGAGAGAGCGCTGTGTGTGAGGTGAGAGAGCGCTGTGTGAGGTGAGAGAGCGCTGTGTGTGATGGGGGAGAGAGCGCTGTGTGTGAGGTGAGAGAGCGCTGTGTGTGATGGGGGAGAGAGCGCTGTGTGTGAGGTGAGAGAGCGCTGTGTGTGAGGTGAGAGAGAGCGCTGTGTGAGGTGAGAGAGAGCTCTGTGTGATGGGGAGAGAAGGCTGTGTGTGGGGGGAGAGAGTGGGGAGAGAACGCTGTGTGAGGGGGGAGAGAGCGCTGTGTGTGATGGGAGAGAGAGCGCTGTGTGTGATGGGGAGAGAGCGCTGTGTGTGATGGGGGAGAGAGGGCTGTGTGTGATGGGGGAGAGAGCGCTGTGTGTGATGGG